TTAAAGTGTACCTTGCATAAGTCTAACACTAGTTCCCGCGTATTGTTAACTCCACTACATTCTCTTCCCGTTACTATTAAAGCTAATCAGGCTTTATTGCCATTCGCTCTCCCACTTGATAGTAACTTATGGTGCTGATTGTGTGGAGTGAAACTATATAAACACCCTCTATATGACAGATTTTGACCTTTACTTTCACTTAAACGACCTTCACAATAGATATCATAGAGCGTTCCCTGATAGTCAATACATTGTTGATTATTTTCATTAAAATTTCCCCGACTTTTCTTGTACTACTTGTTACCCTATTGTAGAACAACCATCTGTTTCATTCCTCACTTTTACTAACTAGTTTAACATAAACTATCATATTACCAGTCATTCGCAAGCTACTATTTAAATTTTTAAACACCTTCGTAACCATCCTGTTAATAATCTCCCTGAGTTATTTATAAGGAATCTTATTTTTAGTTTTCGCTATCTTGTAAACCCTGACAATTATCATGACATCTTTAATAGTTTTAGTAACGTTTACAATCAGAGTAATCAGTTTGCTGTAGATCCTCTCAGTCCCCAAGTAGACGCTAGTAACCAGATTCAGGAACTAACTGACAACGAAGATTTAATTGAATTAGGTGAAGATTTGGACGATACTGTAACTGGAGCCCCAAATAATAATTCTGTATCAGATTCAGAGGATTCAGAAGAGGAGATGAATCATGATCAAGCTAATGCTATTAATAACCTAGCCACCCAAATTGGTCATCTGGTTAACCAAATCTGCCGTACCCCACCTCCAACAGTCAATATCGCTGCACCTCCCGTTAGGGAAAGCAATAACGTTCCATATCCTGATTTTGCTGGAGGAGAACAAGACCCCATCACTTGGTTAGAAGATGAAGAGAAGGCCTTTGAAGCTAATCAAGTGACCGACACGCGTAAAATATCCATAATTATACCCTATCTGAAGGGTCCCGCCCAAGCTGGTGGTTGACAAGAAGAGTTCAAGTCCCACAGGTTGACCATTGAGATGATAGACATAACGTTGATAACAGTTTTCGTCATGTGTTTACAGCTCAATTTCGCACTCAGTCATTAGAAAGTAAATGGTTCGCGGAGCTCACGCAGAGAAAACAGCAGCCTTTTGAAGATGTGGATACTTATCATTCAATTATTGTTGAACTTTTTTGTCGCATAGAGGCAGGAAATGCCCGGTTTCCTCACACCGCTAAAGCTCAAATTTTTATCAATGGACTTCGTCCCGAGTTGTCTACAGCAGTAGCCCTCTTTACACCCAATACTTTACAAGCTGCTTATGAGAGAGCTAAAGCTTTTGAAAATACTTATAAACAAAACTCCTCTTATATTAACCCTTATAGACTACCTTCTGTAACTACTAGACATTCTTTAAATCCCTTCGTAATCTCCCATCCAACCTCTAATGGGTTAGACTCGGCTATTGAAAAATTGACCGAGGTCCTCAACAACACAGTAACCCAGATTAAAGAAAACAGTAGGCCCCCTCCAAGAAACCCTCCCCGAAATAACATAATTTGTTTTAACTGTGGTAGAACTGTTCACATTGCCCCTGTTTGCCTCAACAGAAATAATTTTAATAATAACAATGGTAATAATAACAGGAACCCCTTTAACAATAACTATAATAATAATAATAATAATCCCCATCTAATAATGACAATGGACCTAATAATAACAATCAGCCACTCCAACAGGAAGCTATTCAAACCCTCTTAAATTTAATGGCTAACTTAATATCACTAATCCCACTAATAATGATAATCAAACTTTTATTCATCTTCCTGAAGAAGATACTCCTTTCTTTGTCAACGATGTCACTCCTAAGCAACATAACACCAGGAGTCATAAGCTTGTTAGAGTCGAGTCCGAAGACAAAACAAATGAACCAAGTATCGGAGAGTTTTCTAATCTACCGGAGCAAGATAAGGCTAGTGATAAGCCTAAAGTTCCTAATAAACCAACTAAGAAAAATATCGCCCCTCAAAAGAAAAATGAGTCAGAAGTTTTACCCCAAATATCTTCGCTTGTACCCCATACTCGATAGTCACGGATCTTTGCGATAAGCTTGCTAACATTACTTTCGGCCAGTTGCTTCATGCAGTACCTTCGATGCGAGTTGAATTGTCTAAGAGGCTACAGAAACAAAAGTCGAGTATAAGAAAGAAACCTAAAAGTAATCTTAATCTTCAAGCTGATAATAAGTCGACTGCTTTATATTGTGATGCTCAAGTCCTTGATATGGTTATTCCCCTTATTGTTAACAGTGGGTCTTCCGGGAGTGTTGTGTCGTCGCATTTACTCTATAAACTAGGTATAAAGGTCGAAAAACCCTCCACCATTAACATGGTCAATGTTCATGGGGAGAGTAAAAGGGCTGTTGGAGAAATTTCAAGTTTCCCATTTGTGATTGCCGGAGTGACTATTTTTATCGACGTAGTCGTGACTAATGCTAATTCTTATCAAGCAATCGTTGGTAACGATTGGCTTGCCAAGACCCATGCAATTATTAATTGGGAGTCCTCGGAAATAACTGTGTTTTGGGAAGGTAAAGAAATCATAGTCCCGGTTGAGTGTCATCGATTGACTCATGAGCCGTTGGAGAAGAGTCGTCCCTCTAAAATTATGGAGTTGGATGAGGATACAGATGAGGATTCAGAGGACGACATACCCAATGAAGAATTTGAGGAAGAGGAACTTGAGGATAAGATTTTTAATTTTTCTAACATAAGTGAATGTGGATTTTTTAATAAGTACTATAGTAGAAACTATGATCTCGTTATATATAATAAATTATACCCTATTTTTGAGTTTAAAGTAGCTCCTGAAATTCTTAACATTAAACCCCTTCGAATAACTGCCCCTGCTTTAATGACTTCTGACAATCAAAACTTTAACAATAACCCTAAACTTAGTACTGATATCCTTATCTTTTATTCTGACTATGAAAAAGATGATGATAATGCTTTTGGTTCTAATCAGTCTTTATCTAGTAACCTAATTTCCCGGTAGTCATCCCTAATACTCATAACCCCAACTATCTAACCTTAGTTGATACTAAGTCTGTAGACTTTATTGAGTTTACTGACTTCTATTCTTATAATAATGACGAAATTGTTGAACAATCTTTTAATATCAAAAATTTAGATCCTCTTCATCAAATAGAATTAGAAAACCTTCTTCATAATAACAGTGATGTTTTCACTTGGACCTCTAATGACCTTGGGAGGACTGGGTTGACTAAACACGTAATTGATACAGGTGACGAGTTGCCTATTAAACAAAGACCGTATCGTCGCTTCCCTAAGGAAAAAGAGTATCTCAAAGATGAAATAGATCAAATGCTGCGCGATAAGATAATAAGACCTTGTTGTAGTCCCTGGGCCTCCCCAGTGGTTTTGGTACATCAACATGACAAAACTAGATTTTGTATAGATTACCGTCGCCTAAATTCTGTAACTCGGAAAGATACTTATTCTCTCCCTCGTGTTGATGATTTATTGGATACTCTCCATGGCTCTTGCTCGTATTCTTCGTTGGACCTTGCCTCTGGTTATTGGCAGATAGAAATGAAGGAGTCAGATAAGGAAAAGACTGCCTTCATAATGGAATATGGAACTTTTGAGTTCAATGTTATGCCATTCGGCCTTGCGAATGCTCCCTCTACGTTTCAAAGACTTATGGATCATATTTTTTATGGTGTTATAGAGAAATTTATTGTTGTCTATTTAGATGACATTAATGTTTTTTCTACTTCATTTCCTGAACACTTAAACCATCTGCACCAGGTTTTTCATATTCTTTGCCAAGCCCACCTTAAACTTAAACCATCTAAGTGTTTTTTTGCTAAAAAGCGATTAAAGTTTTTAGGATATGTTATAGGGCATGGAGGTATATCTACTAACCCTGGTAAGATTAGAGTCATTCGTGAGTTCCTGTTCCCAAAAATCTGCGACAGCTTTGTGGGTTTTTAGGTCTTGCATCGTACTATCGTCGTTTCGTCAATGGTTTTACTAAGATAGCCCATCCTTAAATCAGTTGTTAAGAAAGGATGTCGCCTATAATTGGGGTCCCTCCCAACAATGTGCCTTCAAAGCTTTAAAGGATAAACTCTCTTCTTCCCCTATTTTAGCGTTCTCTAGATTTGATAAAGAATTCATTTTATCAACTGATGCCTCTGGCTATGCTCTTGGAGCTATTTTATCTTAATTAGATAAAGATCAGAATAAAAGGGTTATCACCTATGCCAGCCGTACTATGGCCCCTGCTGAAAAAAATTATTCAACTACTGAAAAAGAGTGCCTTGCTGTTGTCTGGGCCGTTTCACATTTTCGCCACTACCTACATGGATCTAAATTCATCATTATCACCAACCATTCAGCTTTGACCTCTATGTTTAAAACCAAAAGGCCTATCAATAGATTGGCTCGATGGATTTTATCCCTTCAAGAATTTGATTACACCATTAAGCATCATCCCAGTAAATCTCACTCTTACGTTGTCGTCTTGTCAAGAATTTAACATTGATAGTATAAACCGACGTTATACATTCCGTCAGCATTTTTCATCTCACAGCCACCAACAAATTAATTATTGCACCCAAATCGCTATAACAGATACCAACTTGGACCATTTTAAATTAACAAAAGAAAATTTCATTTTTAAAGTTAGCCTATTGTCCTCGTTAAACTATTGAGAATTAAACCCCAGCATCATAACAAATACCCATTTGAAGTATCCCCCCATAATAATTAAAAGTTTTTTTTTCTTTAACACTCTTAATTGCCTCATCAGCCATACAAACAGTGTGTTAGTAACCATGGACTTTGAAACCTACTATCTATTTTTAGAGTACCTCCGTGATTCTATAATTTCTTCAGAATTTACCCTAGCCCAAATTAAAAAACTTAAACACCAGACTCGTTATTTGTTCGTTCTCAATGATTTATTATATAAAAATAACCCCAAGAATCCTCAACGACCTCGTAGAATTTTAAAAGAAGATGAAATTGAGTCTATACTGTATAGTTTCCATTCAGACCCGTTAGCCGGATATTTTAATGTTATGTCCACATATCACAAAATTGCTGTTAAGTACTTTTGGCCTCAAATGGGTGAAGATGTTAAGAAGTATGTTTGTAGTTGTGAGGTGTGCAAGAAAAGAGGGAGGCCCCGAACTAAGGAACCCCTCCACCCTATAGTAGTAGGAATGTCTTTTGATAGAGTTGGCATAGATGTTGTTGGACCCTTACTACAGACTTCCCAAGGAAATAAGTATATTGTTGTTGCCACTGATTACTTAACTAAGTGGCTGGAAGCTTGTGCTATCCCCCGTGCTAATGCCCTTAATATCACCCAGTTCATTTTTCAGGATATTATCTGCCGTCATGGCAGCCCTAAAGTCCTTCTTTCCGACCAAGGAAAACATTTTTGTAATCATATCGTAGATTCCCTCTGTAACCTTATAGGCACTAAACATAGTTTATCAATCTCTTATCTCCCCCAGACTAACGTTTTCGTTGAAAGGTTTAATCGTACCCTCTGTGAAGTCTTGGCCAAATGTGTAAGCCAATTTGGAGGAGATTGGGACACTTATATTGCTTCTGCTCTTTTTGCTTATAGAACTACCCATCAGGCAACCACCCGATATGAGCCCTTTTTCCTTACATATGGCCGAGATGCCACGTTGCCTTTTGAAGTTAAATTCTCCTTAGAAAATTTGAGTGAAGAATCCATCGAAGCCCAAATTTTTCGTCGTATTGAACAACTTTTGGGTGATCTAACTTTCGCCCACCAACAAGCTCAGACGAATATCCGAAAAAGTCAGCAGAAACAACAAATCCAGTATCAACAGAAAAATATAATTGAAAGCTATTATATTGGTAATAAAGTCCTCATGTTTAAATCTGATCTTGATCAAACTAAGAGTGGAAAAAGTGGACTGGTCCTTGTTATATTCACGATGTGTTAGAAAATGGGTCGTATAAGATAAGGAGTTTTGAAGGAAAAGTATATAAAAGGATAGTGTATGGTAATAGGTTAAAAAGGTTTGTTGTAAGAGAAAAAGTTGGAGATTTGGTACATTACCATAGTTGAGTCTCGCTAGAGCTCGACTTTTGAGGAAGGGAATATGTTAGTGTAAATTATCACCCTATCACATCCCTGAAGCCGGGCATATAGTTCATGTGCCAATTAGGATGATCGTGTCACTCTATCTTGTTAATCTCGTTGCGCAACCTTAGATAGGCTATACTTTTCATAGTCACCTTTTAATTTAATGATAAGGGCGTGAAAACTCTACTGATAAGAGTTGAGCAGCGGTAGAATGAAAAAGTGTTGCGATTAAGTGTGGGATTTCATGTAGGTTCTGATAAGAAAAACATGTATTTATAGGCGTTGTATTCGCCCTCAATTGAACTTCCAGACTTCGATTTAAATGGATTCGATTTCTCCCTTTAGTAGTATTTAGATTTGTTTAAGTCTTTATTTATTTTT